ATTTAGCACCAAAACATTGCAATGTATTGAAATAGCTGTAGATTCGGGTGGGAGGCAGACTGCGTTGGATAATACAGAATGTTGGATGAGCGAAGGTTTGATAAGCAAGACTCTGCTGCAGAAAATAAAAGGAAAGATTTGCTCAAACTAATCTGAGTGACTTCTAAGCAAAGGACAGTGCTAGATGGATCAATAACTCAGAAAGTTGTTTTTGTTATTTGATGTCAAGTTAACTCATGGCAACCCTACAATTAAAGAACGCCAAAGGTCCCAATCATCAGTCTACTCCCCTTCTTAGGTCTTGCAGGATCAGGTGTACGGATTCATTTTTTGCATCAATCCACCCCTAGTGTGTGGTCTTCCTTTTTCCCTACTGCCTTCTACTTTATCAAGCATTATCATCTTTCTAGTGAATCATGTCATTTCATATTACATCCCAAGTATGACAGCCTCAGTTTAGTCCTCATCACTGCCAGTGAGAGCTCAGGCTTGATTTGTTCTAAAACCTGTTAAAGTGTCTTTTTGGCAGCAATCCACAATATGAGTAGAACTCTTCTTAAGCAACACAACTCAGATAAGTTGCTTTTCTTCTTGTCAGCTTTCTTCACTGTGTAGGTTTCACAACCATACATCGAAACTGTATTCAGGAAGGGGAACTTCATAATTGAGAAAGGAAGCATAGCTTAATCCAGCTATAGAGCACGTGCTTTGTATGCATAAATTCTACGTCTAATCCTTGATGCTTCTAGATCAGTGGTTCCCAACCTTCTTTTCAACAGGGACCACTTTGACCAGGGACCACTCTCCAGCATTAGTACCAGAAGGGTTACAAATCAGTTTTTGGTCAACTGTAGATTCGGTTTGGTTATTCGGGGTGCTGATTCAGAAAACTGCATTGGATAGACCACATCAGCTCTAGTTTCTGATGCAGAACACATGCCATCCAGTAGTCACCATCTGCTCACCCACAGAAAACCATATTTAATAAGCCTTGGTACTATAAGAGGGTTTTGTGAGACCATTGGCTATCATTGCAATAGTGTAGTAACGGTAAGGCTGCAGAGCATATTTTAGTTCTTGCGGACCACTTGGTGGTCCACGGACCACAGGTAGGAACCACTGTTCTAGATAGAAGGAATTTGAGTTTTAAGGGCTGCCAGTACCATGGAGAACAGACAGTATTGAGCTAGATTATGATCCTGATCCGTTTACCTAAATATGCTAAGGACTGAACCTGGAGTTATATTCAAACAAAGCATGGGCTTGATGATTGACCAGTTGTTCTTCCCTTTGGGTTCTGGGATCCCATTAACACCAATCTCATAAGAAATGTCTCTGGGTTTGGTCCTCACCTATCAATCTTAGATTTCAAGTTCAAGATTTGGGGACCCTATCCAATACACTTTGTTTTTTCAAATGTGCGCATTCATAAGTAGAACTGAAAACTTGGCTTTTTGAGCAAGCCTTTGGAACCTCAGTATAATGTAGACAAACTTGAATTGGAAAATGACCTAGGAACGGCTATGACGATGGAACGGATGAGGACTGAACATGAAGATATAGTTTTAAAATTTTTATTGGTCGCTGTTTTTATGCTTTTAAATATTTTGTAATGTTTTTACTTTTGTTGATGTATGTATTTTATATATGGCATCAAATTGTGCCAATTTGTTTGCCGCCCGGAGTTGCCTTCGGGCTGATATGGGTGGGGTAGAAATAGCATAAATAAATAAATAAATAAATAAATAAATAAATAAATAAATAAATAAATAACATCATGTTGGAATTGACCAAAATCAGTCCAACATCTCTTTCCAATACTGGCTAATTTGATGCCTCTCCTGGCATGCCCACATGCAGGACGTGAGCACAGCATAACTACCCATAGATTGTATTCTCCAGAATCTAATTTTCAGGGGAAAAAATACTTTCTCTGGCATGTAATATATAGCAATTATTAACAGCAATACAACTTTCTTATGTGGTTTAAGAGTTTTAGGAATTATAGACTATTTACTTTGCTTTTCATTTATCTGGGTTTTCCAAGGGTGAGGTAGAACTGGACTTACTTTTGGGCCCCATCTACACTGCTATATAATGCAGTTTCAAACTGAATTATATGGTCAGTGTAGATTGGGGCCCTAGAAACCTAAGTGTTAAGTATTGATTCGCTGTCTTTCTATAACAGACCAATGGCTCCCATTTATGTATTCCAGAAAGCATATTTTTCGAGTTAAGTATTCTTTCTGCTCTTTCATGTAATGGACCTGTCTTTCTCTTCATCTCCCACTTGATTCTCTTAAAGTCCGCTTTGACACCTTGCATGAGGCTTCTGATTGAAACCTGCAAAGACTTTTCAATAACCTTACAGAGGCTGTCTCTGGGTGGAGGTGGCTGCAAAGGTTAGTGAAGGTCATATTCACACACACACACATTCACATACACACAACTCTGAACTGACCGATCTTCTTGGAAATAACAGATGCACTCAAATTTGTTCAAAATGTGGCAAACTCCCAAATGAATGTACAAGGAGGTTGTGACGTCTGATTTGAAGGCCCTTCTTCCATCAATTTTGAATATGATCCCAGATGTCCCAAGAACTAGCTTGATTTGAAATGCATCTGTATTTTCTAGGATGGAATAAATTGTTTCCCGTCCCCCCCACCCCCCAAGAATGGGAAGTACAACCCCAATCATATACAACAAAACTAGGAGGCATCTGGGCTATTTGGAGGGAAGGAGATTTTGAGGGCAAGGGAGTCAAATTCACCAGCATTCTTCCAATCTCCTTGTTACTGATGTGTATATAATTACCACTGTCCCAGTGGGCCATTGACATGCAGCAATTTATCTCATTGTAGGAGACAGAGTAATGTATGATATGACCTTCCATTTTTGCCAGAACATAGACCTATCACATTTCCAGTGACGTGGAAATATACTAAGCAAGATCTGGGATGAACTATCCTGCAGCAGAGGACAACTACAGGAAGGAGATAAAAGTATTGTGTTGGTTCCATGTTTCTGGCCAAACCTGGATTTTCCAGGGCCTGGAAGGATTTCCAGAACAACAGGAATTCTTCCAACAATTTGCAGTGCCCAGCTAAATCCTGAGATTTAGGGCAGGTGTGGGAATCATTTGCCCTCTAGATGTTGGTAGACCTCGACTTCTAGTATTCATTGGCTATTTTGGCTATGGCTGCTAGAACCTGTAGGCCAATGTTTCCCAACCTGAGGGTCCCCAAGTGTTTTGGCCTACAACTCCCAGAAATTCCAGTCAGTTTACCAGCTGTTAGGATTTCTGGGAGTTGAAGACCAAAACATCTGGGGACCCACAGGTTGAGAAATACTGCTGTAGTCCAACATATAAGGACCACTTGCTTCTTACCTCTGTTCTAGGAGCAGATGAATCCCCAAACGTTATCTCTTTGCTGAAGTTGTATGGAATTTAAAGTCTCGATTTAAATTCCTCTTCTTCAGATGAGAACTTGGTGTAGAGTACATTGGAGTTGGAAAGTTTAAACAACCATGATCTAAATGAGTGTCTTCAAAGATTTACACTTTCACTTTTAGGATGGGAATCTGGTAGGTTGTTCTCCTTCTCCTCCTCCTTTTCCATGAAAACAACTTCATGCTCCAACTCCAGTGGATGAAGGTGCTAAGAAACTTCACGAACAGAGCATCCTATTATCAGAGACCTTCATCTCTTCTTGCATAGACTCAGATTACAGGGGGCCTCTAAGCTGGTGATCTCCCCTCCTCCCCCTGTTGGAAAGTAGCTAAACTCAGGGCCCTTTTACACAAAACTTCATTCTCGGTTACACCAAATTTTCTTCATTTCAGTAGATGGAAAATTGAGATGGAAAAAAAGTAACTGTGTTAATATTTCTACACCAGTGATTTGCAGCCTTTGGTCTCTGTGAGTTTGGCAAGGAATGGAGGAGCATTCCTGCAGTGCTGGAACGGGATGGGTGGGTGGCTAAGTGGATAATCTTTATTATTGTTTGGGTTGCAGTTTTTTTTTACTCTAAGGCAGAGGAGACAATCAAAAGCTTCCCAGCAAAGATACTGGAGTCTTAGCCAGGGGATTTTAATAAGAAAAGGTCTTCACAAGGCCCAGACTCTGTGGCTCTGGCTCGCCATTGTTTGATATCTGACCTCTGGACCATCAGGGTTAAGTAAGGCTCGTGTAGTGCATAAGCTGTTAAATGAAAAAGGTTTGATGAGCTGTCAAGAATATCTACTGTGTCAGGAACTTTCTGTACTGCTGCCCTATACAATGAGTTCCAACATTTGGGTCTGGAACATCCCCCAGGCAGTGATGTTATTCACAGGCTCTGAAATAATCCTAGCCATCCTGATCATGGATCACATTTTTAAACTGGCAATATTTTAGAATTTTTAATCTTTGAATGTTTAAATTGTTTTAATGATTGTTTTAATTATGTTTGTTAATTTTATGTCTAATGGTTGCCTATTGTAGGTCGCCCTGAGTCCCCCCTCCCCGCCCCCCAGGGGTGAGAAGGACAGGGTATAAATGCTTTAAATAAATAAATAAATAAATAAATAAATAAATAAATAAATAAATAAATTTATTAGCTAGCTATCTTGGTGAATTTGTAAATGAGAAACCTCCAAGTGGCCCAGTTGTTAACAGCCACATTTGTGCCTTGCAAACTTAGGGCAGCCATGGCTTCTTTGACTGGATCCACCCACCCAACTGTAATGCAGCTTTCCTCTTTTTCTACTGCCTTCCACTTTACAAAGCCTTATGGTCTTTCCCCGTGAGTCACATTGGTAGTTTTTTTTATCATTTAAAATGGTAGCCGAGTGCAAACCAAGTCAATCCAGCATGCACCAATGTCCGTTTGTTTGTTTTTTTAAAAAACAACAAACCAGTACTGCTTTATTGATAAAATACAATTTGAACCTTATTTTTGGCTTGGTCCAGAATGTTTTTTAAAAAAAATTTGTCTGTCTTTCTTCTTTTTCAATAGTGACCGTGGGCCGTGGCATCCTGGACAACATACCGAAATTTTCCTCTCTACCAACATATCTACCTGTAAAATATCAGATCTCACGCACTGAGACTTCATTTTTCCTCAGAGAAGCTAATCAGGAGTTCATGCGAAACTCAAGTTTGCAGTCACGGATAGAAACCTTCTTTACCTACAAAACCAAAAAGACACCTGTAATAAATGCTAGTTATGGACCATTCTCTGTGGAACATACTGTGCCCCAGGATCTCCTGTTGACTTCAGACATTTTTGGTTCCACCAACAAGTTTACATTCAACTGGAAGCTGAAAGCCTACATCATGAGTGAAAAGGTTTATTTGACCAGGCCTAAAGTTCAAATACTTTTTTATATTGTGGGAAGAGATTGGGATGATTACAGTGCTACAGAACAGCTACCTTGCATGAGAGTCTTTGCTTTTCGAGAAACGCGGGAGGTCCGTGGCAGCTGCAGGCTCAAAGGCGATCTGGGTTTATGTGTGGCTGACTTGGAACTTCAGCCAGCCTGGTTTAACCCACCAACAGTTGTTACTGGCCGTAAGAAAGCAGCTGATCCATCTGAAGGAAGTTCTGTAGAGCTTTACTACACCATCCAGCCTGGAGATGAGAAAGGGGAGTGTAGCACTGAAGACATCAGGAAGGGAAATGCTATCCGTCCAGGGAAGGAAGGAGCTGGGGAAACCATGTCCCACTTACAAAGAATTGGTTCTATCAGTCTCCACCGGGTCCCAGAAAGCTCTCAGCTGACAGAGTTGTGGTTGGACAGCAATGTGGCCCTTTGGCTGCCCTCAAAACCTGTCAAACAAGGAGAAGTAGTGAGTGCTTTAGTGACGCTCGCAAACAACGTTACAGTGGATCAGTTCATTCTAAGGTATGGTTGATCTGCATATTTTATTTGTTGATGGGCACTGCTTTTAAAATGACTGTCACCTGTAAACACAAACCCATCTCTCCTACTCACATTGCAGAGCTTAAACCAAAAATATTAACCAATAGGTTCCTTTCCCCTCCTTTCTGGGCTTTATAGTCAAGGGCTATTTCTTCAGTAATCAAATGCATCAGGTCTTGGTCTAAGACCTTAACCATCTTGGAACTTCCCAAAGATTCCATAAGTGGACATGTATATTTCAAGTTAATCTCAATTAACACAGGAATGGTAAAAACACAGGTAGCTTTCCATATGGGGAGGCCTCTGAAGACCAAACATAAATAATAATATATTCCAAAGTGTCAGAGTATTCCAGTTTCCAACAAACCCCACAACCTCTGAGGATGCTTGCCACAGATGCAGGTGAAATGTCAGGAGAAAATGCTTCTAGAACATGGCCATACAGCCCGAAAAACCTAGAACAACCTAAAGTTGTTGTTGTTGTTGTTGTTGTTGTTGTTGTTGTTTTGTTATTTTCAACCCTGGAATTTCTGGAATCATGATAGAAGTCAAAATCCAAAGTGCCATGGACTAGATTGACTTGCCCATTTCAGTATATGCCTCTATGTGTATGTCTCTGTGTACAGTCCCTGACAATGAAAGTCCTAGCATATAATTTTCAGCTTTCAGGGTGTTTGTTGGAGGAGGGTAACTTTTTTAATCCACCTTTTTAAAAATAAGGGGGAGGAAAGCAAACCAATCAACCCAGAAGCAGCTTTGGATTAGTTGATGAGATAATCTGTGTGACACCTGTTCGATGAGTGGACCTCTTTGCTTGTTTATGATCATTGCTGCAGAAATGATGCAGCAGGAGTCTTGAGTGCCCAGCCAAAAAAAAAAATGTACTTACAGCAATATCCTTAAAAAGGCTACTCTCACTACCATGGATGTTCTTATCTCCTCATTGAGACTTTTTCGTTTTTCTTTTGGGTTGCTTTGGTGACTTGCAAAGAAAACATCAGCCATGGAGCAAAAGATATATATACAAAGGGTCATGGGATCAATCCTTGGAAGTTCCAGTTACGAAAAAGGATCGTCATGACAGCAGGTTTTAAGTCTGCTTTCACCCCGCCGGTGAAAGCAGACTTGCAGGATATCCCATTGTGCACTATAGGTAGACATTATACAATGGGACACATGATGCAGTGGGGCTTGGAACTATGTACTAACTAGAACATGTGCTTTACCTTGCATGGTGCCTCAGTCTCATTGAGCATCAGGCAGTTCACTAGCATGATTGTATGTTGCTTCAGTGATGTATCTACAACATCAAAGACTCTGATGCAAGATTTTGGTTCCTGTATGATTATAGTAATAGCTCATAACAGTAATAGCTCATAACAGTAATAGCTCATACGAGCCCCTGGTGGTGCAGTGGGTTAAACCACTGAGCTGCTGAACTTGCTGACCGAAAGGTCGCCAGTTCAAATCTGGGGAGCAGGATGAGCTTCTGCTGTAAGTCCCAGCTTCTGACAACCTAGCAGATCGAAAATGTGAGTAGATCAATAGGTACCGCTCCAGCGGGAAGGTAACGGCACTCCATGCAGTCATGCCGGCCACATGACCTTGGAAGTGTCTGCATACAATGCCGGCTCTTTGGCTTAGAAATGGAGATGAGCACCAACCCCCAGAGTCGGACATAACTGTTAGGGGAAAACCATTACCTTTTACCATAACAGTACATTATTGCTGGAAAATCAACCACCTACCAAGCTACTGGGAGGACTGCAGCTGGGGGGGGGGGGGAGAGGAGAGGGTGGTTAGATAAGAAATTCATTCTTGCCAACTAATAGGTCCTGGTGCTTTGACACTGCATGTCCTGACTCTATTACGGCACTAGTTGGTTACAAATGTTCCCCACTTTCAAAATATTGGTCACTTTAACAACAAAAACAGGAGAGAGAAAAAGTTGAAAGAGATGTCTCTGGCCTTTTTATTTGTGTGTGGACCCTTCCACACAGCTGAATAACATCCCACATTTTCTGCTTTGAACTGGAATATATGGCAGTGTGGACTCTGATAACCCAGTTTAATGCAGATATTGTGGTATTTTCTGCCTTGATATCCTGGGTCATATGGCTGTGGAAGGGTCCTGTTTGTTTTTTGGGAGATTGCTGCTGATCACCCTTTGAAAGTCTGCCCACCTCTGCTTTTTCCCTGGAAAAGAAATGTGAGCTAGGCTTGCTTCTGAAGCCAGATGTCTGCGATGCATAGCTTGAGAAAAGATTGCAATTGCTTCTGGAATCAATCTGAAAACAAAAGCAGGGTTGCAACTGAGGGCCCTTCCACACAGCTATATAACCCAGAATATCAAGGCCAATAATCCACAATCTCTGCTTTGAACTGGATTATCTGAGTCCACACTGTTGTATAATCCAGTTCAATGTGGATTTTTATACAGCTCCAGGGGAAAATGCGAGAGGACATGCACTTTAGGTGCTGTCTGGATGTGCCCAGAGTTTTCACAATACGAACCCAACGTTCAAGACAAAAGACTTCAAATCCCATGTAATGCCTCAGCATTTACACACAGGGCAGTGTGCCATGTTTGATTTGGTGTGGAATTACAAACAGCAGGCCAACACATTTAATGCTAAGAGCATGCGTATTCTGTGACTTAGAGGTTAAATCTATTAACTTGATGCAGACAGGCGGACATAGACCAGGTTGCAGGTGGCATTGAGTAGGATAAGCAGGAAGGAAAGATGAGGGATGAAGTTCTCTCAGCTGATTAGGAACCTGGAGTTATTTTTTTTCTGTCAGTCTGGATTAGAGTTTGTCTCTTTCCGGCTCCCATTTTGCTGGGCCTTTTTTTGCGGATAGTTTCTTTTTTTAAATTCAATGTAATGCGCAGAAAAAAGGAAATACTAAAATTAAATATATCACCTTGGAATGGGTGATATATTTAATTTATCACCAATTCTGCCACAAACCCCAGTTAGGAATCCCAACCCAAGTCTAAATGTAGGAAGAGGCAGCTTGGTTTCTTCATGTGAAGAAGGTATAAAAACAGAGTTTTCCAAGGGGACAGACATCTTGAAAGCCTGAAGTTTCGACAATAAAGTTAGCGAATGTAGCACCCCTTGCCAGCTAACAAGCTAACTGTGAGACAATGGATAATTAGCAAGGATAATACAGCATCAGATTGCAAGAGAGATAGAGGCTAAATGTGGCAAGGAGAGTGATTAAACAGTTCGGCTGAGGCAGCTTTCAATGGTAGTATCCTAATGAGTATTGACAAAGCAGCTGTATTTAGTGGAAGGGTAGAGAAGAATGCTAGCGATATTAACACACTGGAAAAGCAGAAATGTCACCATACATGTGTACAAGGAGATTGTGGCTGGTTGGTTGAAATCAATATGTCAATCAGCCTTCCCTTTTCTCCTCCACCATGGCCATTCCTAGACATTTTGCTGCCTGAGGCAGAATAGCAAATGGCACATGTCTCAATCAATTGTTGTTTGGAAACAAGTTGACTGCTAGGCAGTGGATAATTTCAACAGGGATAATATACTCTCTGCTCCCTAAATCTTTCTTTCACATCAACCTTCCTGCTCCGATTTTGGCTGCGTTTTCCAGTTTCATCTTTGCTTGGTTCATAGAATCATTCCATCACGGATTCATAAGGGTTGGAAGAGACCACAAGGGCCATCCAGTCCAACCACCTCCCATGGAGGAATGCACAATTTAGGCAGGTGGCCATCCAATCTCTGATTTAAAATGGCCAAAGAAGGAAATTTCACCACATTCCTGACCACGGGATCACACTAAGTTTATTGAAATTGTCTTTTTTACATAGCTTCCTCTTTCCACTGTATAATAAACTCTCGAAGAACATGACACTTCATCAGAGGGGTGGTGGAAAGCGGATGGGACCATCTTACCCCATTCCTTACTGTCTTTCCCCGTCTTCTGGGATGGTCAGCCATCCATGTCTTTTCCCCCATTTCCACCCATCTTTTACCTGCTTTCCCCCCACTTTCTCATGTTTGGAATCAGGTAACACCTGACTCCTGGATGGACTTCCAGCTCCCATTTCCATGCGCTGCGGAAATGGAGCCCCATAGAGTCCCACCAGAAGTGCCCTACATCGTGTGATGGCCTCTGTGGGACTTCTGTAGTGCTCCATTTCCGAAGCTCATAGAAATGGAGCCAGAAGTCCATCTGATGAAGTCCATGGTCACTCCCACCTAAGAAACCCCCTACATCCACCCATTTACCAGATCATCACTGTTGGTTAGGGTGAAATCTAAAATATCTGATCCACTTGTTGTTTCTTCTACCTTCTGGTCCATGAAATTGTTTGCAATGCAAGTGAATAATTTCTTGGATCTTGTATTCTTGGCAGAGTGGTCTTGCAACCAATATCAGGATAGTTACTATTACATTTCTGCGTTCTGAGTATGTGGTCACCTGTTCTAGGAAGACATCATCTAGGTCTTCAGTCTGGCTTGGAGATCTATAGTAGACCCACATAATGACATCCCTGTTGTTTCTTTCCTCCTTTATCCAGATACTCTCAACCTGGCTTCTAGGATTTATGTCACAAACCTCCTCATATGTGTGAACAATTGTTGTTGTCAGATATGTTCAAAATTACAGCTGTTCACCCCTTCTGCCCAATATGTATTATACATATGATCAAATCCCAGGCTCCCCATAATATAACACCGATGGGAACACCATGAACCAATTGTAGCTTCTCGGCCTCTTTACCCCACAGGGTTGTTATTAGGAAAAAATAGGGTGGGTATGAAGAAATGTGGAGGATAGGGCACTATTCCACCTCTCCTCTCTCTCCTGCTATGTTAATTGAATGCAAACTCCTTTTGCAAATTGAAGAGCTGAGGACTAAAGTGGGGGAGTAGGAGAAGGACAGAGAAACTGGGGCATTTTCAAAGCATCTTTGAATGTTGGACAGCACAAGTTTAACTGGCTGTCCC